ATTTTTCATGCCAAAAACAGAAAATGTGGAAAAGCTTAATTGCATGCATGCAGCTAATTAGAAAATGCTGGAAAAGTTCCTTTTACAAAAAGATATGCTACATTTTTTTTTCAGTATTTCACTTTAAATAAACTGTCTTAGTAAAATATGCCGTAATAAAACTAACAAATATGTTTGTTTGTTTTTTTTAAACTTCTACTCTTGATTTTTTGGCTTCTATAATGACTGTAATTTTTGATTAAAAAACAACAACTTCCAAAACTAATTTTTCTTAAATTGTAAAGTTACTGTGTAGGTCTACACTTACTGTACATTTACTACAAGCATTGACTTGGTGTGTGGTTCTGACATGTAACAATTAGAATCAGAAGAGTCAGAAGAGAGACAAACGTTTTCCCACCCATAATTAATTCACTGTCTGTCTGAGTAAACAGGGAAGGTTAAACCTTTGGTAAACTGTTAACCAAAAAGGTCTGAAATTGGAAATTGTTTCAGTGATTGATTACTTTTCGAATGGTCGGCTCGCTGAAAAGGCTGAGAATTTTTTTTTTAGAATCCTCTCTATAATCTTCTCTTAATTTAAAACGTTGATTACAGCTGCAAAGTTTGAAATAGGATTTAGACATCTCATCACAAACATGATGCATAACGACTAACCACAATCATCCACCTATTGGATCCGCCACAAGTTGTGAATGTTACTCAGTCAGTGATATTATGACCTTATTGACCTTAATGTCAATATGCTGGGTTAAAATTTAAAGTGAAATAAATAAAAAAATTGTTTGGAATTACTCTGTATATCAATAAAATCATCCTAAAAATAATTACAATAACAAGATCTAATATCAAGGATGATGAGAATAGATGATTAAGAAGGGGGATCCAGTAACTGGCATTTGAAAACATAAAAGAAAATAAAAATAACCTCAAGGAAGGCTGATCATGCTACTATACTCATGCTAGTAGAGGAAGTTGAGCCTCTGGAGAACATTGAGTTCATTGACATGGTCATTACAATAATCCTGTCTCTGAACATCCCTTTTCTAATGAGGATGGCCCAGAAGAGGGTTTCTTTCTCACAAGACACAACAGAAATCCTCCTCTCCCTCCCTGTGTCAGAATGCACCATAGAGGATAAGAAGGACCTTGCACATGTAGTGAAGATGGTTTAACAAATAGTAAAGAGTTCCCCTTTTAAATTCCCTTTAGAGAGCCATGGTGGTAGAAAGGACACATATGTATCGCAGCAGACCCCGACCACCCTGGAAATTGATGGTTTGTGCCTCTACCTTCTGGGGTGTGGTTTAGAACAATAAAAACAAAAAACAAGCAAAGTGAGGCAGTTCCTATCCTTGAGCTATGACATTTATCACTCTCCCCAACGCCACCAGCCGCCCCCAGGCATTTGTAAATAAAACCATCAAACTCTTTAGACTCAAACACCCCCTCATTCATACTAAAAGCTGAAACTGTGTAGCAATTTATAAATTGGACTAAATTCTACATTTTATTTAATTGTTGCTTAGTGTTCTGCACTACTGCCACACATTTTGTATTTATATGACAAGCCTTTGTTGCTTTATGTAAACTTCATATTTCAGTTCAATGCAGTTCTATTTATAAAAGGCCAGTTTACAACATGTCATCTCATTGCCTTTAACAGAGACAATACAATCAAATCATATCAACAGGTTAAAGGTTTTCTAAGAAAAACCCAGCTGATAGCATCCGGCCATCGACAGGATCGACTCCTTCAGATTGAGCATAAAACGACAGCAGACTTTATTTTATTATTGACTCTACACAGCAATCTCTGACATCAAGCATGCGTAAAGCGTCAGTGGAGAGGAAAACTCTCTTTTGACAGTGAAAACATCCCCCAGTATCAGGCTCAGTATGAGCTGCCTGTTGCTGGCAGGGGGTACAAGAAGACAGCAGCAGACACACAAAAGGAGCAAAGAAGAACTGATTCATTAATACTTTCTATGTTAGAGAATGTAGGGGTAAAATAAATAGATGTCTGGGCTGGAGAAAGAAACAACTAAGCAGAGGAGCTCTGAGTCGGTTTTTATGTCATTTCATTCTGTTAATGCATAACAGTAAATTCCCGTGGTATAACCGTAATAACCATGTTGCACTTGATAGTTTTTTCATTGTGTTAAAGGGGAACCCTGTTTTTTTTACATTGGCCGCTTGATTTTATGCTATTACATCATGTTGTACTAACCCATATGATTTTTGTGTCATTTGGAGCCGTTCTGAAGATATTCCGTTAGGTTATATCCAAGTAACGTCTTCCCGTGAGCAACGACTTTAAGGTACAAATAATTTATTTTTTTATGGTACGCCAGCATTTATAACATGAAGGCGAATGACTGTCCCCCAGACATCCGCGGTTATATTTTTCATATTTATATTTTGTAAAAACAAAGTGGTGCGTGTATGACGTCATCCGCGCGCCGGACTGGAGTTGTGACAGGCAGCCCGGGCCACAGGCGGCTACGCTCTACCCCTTATATTCATTTGGCGAGCTAATCTGAATCTTTCAATTCCATTTCGAGAGCGAGATCAGCTGTGGTAGTAGCACTAGACATCTTCCAGGCATGTGAGTAAAACTAGCAGCTGTTCATTGGAAAGGATGAATGAATGGTAGCACGTGCGGATAACATCATATGCCGCTTTGTTGTAATAAGATATAAATATAAATACCGTAATATAACCGCGGATGTCTGGGGGACAGTGATTCGCCTGCATGTTATGAATGCTGGCGTACCATTAATAATAAATTATGAACAGTTTAGTTTGTGCCTTAAAGTCATTGCCCATAGGAAGACGTTACTTGGATATAACCTAACGGAATATCTTCGGAACAGCTCCAAATGACACAAAACTCATATGGGTAAGTAGAACATGATGTAATAAATTAAAATCAAGGGCCCAATGTAAAAAAAACGCCCTTCTCCTTTAATGAAACCCAGCAGGCAGATTTCTTTTAGAGAGTGAATTACGGTAGGGCGGACACAGCATCTCTGCCCTAATGTTTTCTCACAAAAACACTAACATTTGGCGTTGGAGTGAGTCGGTGTTCTGTGAGAAAAATGCTCTAAAGATCTCCCATTAAAACACCCTGAACGCGTAGCACGGACAGAACTTCATAAAACTGAACTTAAAAGCCAATTAATTAATCTAAAAGAAAGTGGCAAACAAACTCCTGCATACATTTTGCAAATAAAAAAAAAAGGAATTGACAACCTAAGACAATTCAATTGTCCCCATGGCTTTTTTGTGTTTATTGTTTTGTTTACCGTTCAGTAGCTGTAGTAGTTTTTCTCACACAGCTGCTTGAAAATATTTCCTCATTAAGAAGCAGAAAGTTTTTTCTTTGATCTTATGAAATTAAACAGTACAGAAACAGTTAATTTTTTTTCTGATAAAGTTATCCCTGATGCTAAGTTTAAATTGAATATACAGTTAAGGAAAAAAAAACAGTTTGACCCTTCATATTCATTTGTGTACATTATACTTTCAGGTGATATACAATAGGAAATTTTAAAAATGTCAGTGACTGTATATGTTCTTGCCATGCAAATGCCAAAGCAAGCCCAGAAAAAAAATTAAACAAAGCATCTTGTGAACAACCTTACCCAGCTGGGGAACTTTCATAGAGTTTGCTTTAGTGGTGATGGATGGAAAATTTCTTTTCCAATGTAATCCAGAATAAGGTATCTGCACATCTGTTGCACTGCTTGACATAGATTTGTACTGGTTTGCACTAATACATATTTTACACTTTTTTTATACAAACAAACTGACGTACAGTCTACATGCAAAATCTACGACCAGCCTTCAAATATGATTCTGTATTATAGTTATGTACAAATTGACACATATTCAAATCAACAGGAAAAATGTTCTGCTCTTTTGGGGGAAATTAGGATTTCTGTGGGCTTTTATTGTTAAAGTATTTAATATTCACTAAACAATACTTACTACAAATAATTCTATGTCCAGGTTTAATGTTTTTTCTAAAACCTTCAAAACAGCTATTTTTGGTAGATTGTGAAAACAAGCTGATTATTCATTCTTTTTTTGGTGTTTTTGTTTTGCAATAAGCACTTAGATAAATTCCCTGCGAGGTTCAAATGGACTAACAACACAAAGCCTCCTTAAAATAAGCAATATCAGTAAATTTGGGTGATTTCTGTAAACACACTTTGAGTTCTAACCCTGCATTTCCAACAGAAATTGTTAGTTTGATTTAAATAATCTATCTAATTAAACAGTATTTGTTCTGTGTCCGTTTTTTTTATGAAAGTTCATTAAAAAATAAATGGTAATAAATAAAGGTTTGCTTCTAACAGCACACACACATCCAGCCACTCACTGCACAAACACAGTGATAGTGACAGACAGCTGACTGCTGCTATAGGTGTAAACAGCTCTCTGATGAAAAATTACAGAGAGTCACACTATAGCACCATGCAGCGTGTCTGTTGGAGACCAAAGACTAAACTGTGTCATGGCCAGCTCAAACATCTCATATTGCATCCAGAATTACCCGCTATGGCTTTATTATTTATTGCTTTACCCCCTTTACTTTTAAAAGGGGAAATTATAGCAGGTGCTGCAGCAGGCTCCTGCGCACCATCTGCAAACTTTATAAAGCCAGACTCCTGAAACTGCCATGCAATGCCTCTAAAGTAAATAAATATACATAGTTATTTTCAGTTTTAATTCGAACACGGGGTTATTTTCATTTTTTTTATTTTTTTAGAATTAATTTAAAAGCGAATACTTTTATTTTTGTATTATTTCTACCTCCACATTCTGTCGGAACCTTTTTGTAGCAAACATTATTTAGGCTACGTTTTTTAAATTAAGTCTTTCAAAACCAGATAAACCGAGGAAAAAATATATATTTATATATAAAACTATTACTATGTCATCCAACCATAGGCATAACTATCGAAAGATGAAAAAAAAAAAAAACCGCTTACCTTGGACGTGTCAGGGACCTGATGTAATTCCTCCAGAGAGAAAAACAAAACACTGTGGAGGAATGAATGCTCTGGATGTAGAAAGTTGAAGGTAGAATCTGAGGAATACCCGTGAAGAAAATCTGAGTTGATCATTCATGAAGTAGAGCGAGATGCGCTCAGGTGGAGACAGACTCACTGACTGCCTCTGCTCTGAGGAGTCAGGACGCGGAGCGAAGAGAGAGAGAGAGACAGAGCGACTACAAAGAGTCACACAGACACTTTAGATTAAAAAAAAAATATATTACTTTCCTCACAATATTAACCTGATAATTATTTGATGAAAATAAAATAAAAATATAAATATATATATATATATATATATATATATATATATATACACACTATATTGCCAAAAGTATTTGCTCACCCATCCAAATTATTGGAATCAGGTGTTCCAATCACTTCCATGGCCACAGGTGTATAAATTCAAGCACCTAGGCATGCAGACTGTTTTTACAAACATTTGTGAAAGAATGGGTCGCTCTCAGGAGCTCAGTGAATTCCAGCGTGGAACTGTGATAGGATGCCACCTGTGCAACAAATCCAGTCGTGAAATTTCCTCGCTCCTAAATATTCCACAGTCAACTGTCAGCTGTATTATAAGAAAATGGAAGTGTTTGGGAACGACAGCAACTCAGCCACGAAGTGGTAGGCCACGTAAACTGACGGAGCGGGGTCAGCGGATGCTGACGCGCATAGTGCGAAGAGGTCGTCAACTTTCTGCAGAGTCAATCACTACAGACCTCCAAACTTCATGTGGCCTTCAGATTAGCTCAAGAACAGTGCGCAGAGAGCTTCATGGAATGGGTTTCCATGGTCGAGCAGCTGCATCCAAGCCATACATCACCAAGTGCAATGCAAAGCGTCGGATGCGGTGGTGTAAAGCACGCCGCCACTGGACTCTAGAGCAGTGGAGACGCGTTCTCTGGAGTGACGAATCGCGCTTCTCCATCTGGCAATCTGATGGACGGGTCTGGGTTTGGCGGTTGCCAGGAGAACGGTACTTGTCTGACTGCATTGTGCCAAGTGTAAAGTTTGGTGGAGGGGGGATTATGGTGTGGGGTTGTTTTTCAGGAGCTGGGCTTGGCCCCTTAGTTCCAGTGAAAGGAACTCTGAATGCTTCAGCATACCAAGACATTTTGGACAATTCCATGCTCCCAACTTTGTGGGAACAGTTTGGAGCTGGCCCCTTCCTCTTCCAACATGACTGTGCACCAGTGCACAAAGCAAGGTCCATAAAGACATGGATGACAGAGTCTGGTGTGGATGAACTTGACTGGCCTGCACAGAGTCCTGACCTCAACCCGATAGAACACCTTTGGGATGAATTAGAGCGGAGACTGAGAGCCAGGCCTTCTCGTCCAACATCAGTGTGCGACCTCACAAATGCGCTTCTGGAAGAATGGTCAAAAATTCCCATAAACACACTCCTAAACCTTGTGGACAGCCTTCCCAGAAGAGTTGAAGCTGTTCTAGCTGCAAAGGGTGGACCGACGTCATATTGAACCCTATGGATTAGGAACGGGATGTCACTTAAGCTCATATGTGAGTCAAGGCAGGTGAGCAAATACTTTTGGCAATATAGTGTATATATATATATATCAGTTTCAGATAGACGTGCACTCTAAACCCAGATTTTGTTTGTATTTTAAGAGGCTGAGTTTATTGTACTTAGAAGCAGAGGCGTAGCCATACATTTTTTTAATGGTTGGCCAGGCAGTATGTACACTGAGGGGTGGCCCATGGCCCAAAGTGCTATAATGAGAGAAGAACGACTTTGAATCAATGCAACCACGGAGACAGTTAGTTTAGTTTAAGGAAATGTTTATGAAAACAAAGAACAGAAAATGGTGTCTGGCGGGATCTTCCTGGTACAGCCTAGGGAAAAGATTGGGTGATGGTAAACAACTGATCTGAGGTGGAGGGAAGGTGGGGGATGCTGAACTCCTGGGGCTTGAGGTTGTATTGAGCTTGGAAGGATTGTGTCCTGGGTCCAGGAGCAACTGACTCTCTACCCTTCCGGTGATGGTTTGTAGGAGGGTGGACAGGCAGGTGGGCTCCTGGAGGAGGGCTGCGGCAAACTGGCTTGGTTGGTTGCTAGGAGGGAAAAAACAGAGACACAGGATTAGATCTGGTTTGAATACAAATCTCGGAGAAAGCTGGTCGGTCATATACCACGCTGGTAGCGAGAAAGAACTGACGCCCTCCTCCTGGTCCCAGCTCCTTAAGTAGGCTCCAAAATTAACAGAGATGAGCTGCACCTGCACATCACACCCTGCAGAGAAGAGAGAGAGACAGACACCAGACCTGCAGTATAACACAAAGTGGAAAGGCACCAGAACCTCAGGGTCAATCTACACTGTTCCAACAGGAAAATTAATGACCAAAACATCTAAATCAACTATACTTTCCTACAGCCTTCGCTAACAAATAGACGCATATATTTAAACATCTGTCATTTCTAGATAAGAGGTATAGTGGATAAAACTCTCTTACTTTTGAGTTCTGGGACGTAAATCTTTTCAATTGTCATTACTTACCTACATTTATCTATAAACAGTCTGCATAAAATTGATATTTACAAGCGATATCAACATAAATTTATCATTTGATAAGTTTTTATTAAAATTGCTATTTATTTATGATTTCACTGAAGACTCCTAGACGACTTGCAGAGACAACATTTTCTCTTTACCTCAAATAACACAAAATCTTGTTCTGAAAAGAGCATGAATTCTATTTTTATCATCTTTGATTTTAGTATATTGATGTGTATAATTAACCAAAAAAATAAATAAAATGTTTTGAATATTCCACTTGAGCGTATTACTGCTGCCACCATTTGTATTAGAGGGGAACAATGGTAGGGGTGGTCACAGGGGTGGCCAATGGTTGGCTAAGGGTAGCCATGGCCACCCCTGGCCCCCCATCTAGCTCCGCCCCTGTTTAGAAGGTCTGATTTGCTGACATTATTTGTTCATTTTAATTAAGCTAACTGGTTTTATGTCCTTTTTCTATAGCACCAAAACGGAGGAGGACAATAAGCAGAATATCAATAAATTACTAAGGTGTACATAAGAATATTGTATACTCTTGTTTATAGTACCAAGTTGAGGAGTTAATTTGAAGAGGATGCTTGTATAGCTGAACAGGAAATATTAATGAAAAGCCATAAAGATTTGGTTCACAGAATTTGTATTTACTCAACACATTGAGCTTCTCAAAAAGTTACAACTGAGATAACTCTTTAAAGTGGAACCAACTACCAGTTTTAGTCTGTGACACAGACACCCTGTCTACTTTTAACAGTAGGCTTAAAACTTTCCTTTTTGATAAAGCTGATAGTTAGATTGGCTCAAGTTATCCTGAGCTATCTCTATAGTTATGCTGCTATAGGCTTAGACTGTTGGAGGACATGGGGACTCCTTTTGCATCATTCTGCTTCATTCTATCTCTGTACTCCCACTCTGTAGAATCTGTTAGCTTCAATTTTTGGCATTATGCTCTCTGTGCTTTTTCTCATAGCTTCATGTGGTCTCTTCCCATTTGGCCGTGAGGTCATCTCTTTAGCTGTGGGCGAATCACTAAAAAGCTCCCGGTCCACTTTCATGCCACAGTCATTTCTGTAGGACTGGTGATGTTTTACTGTATAGTATGCCTTGCACAGCTCCGCAGAAGTTACTTTAGCATCCAGGGGCAACAAAACGTCATTAAAAAGCCCTCTTTGACGAGTTACCTGCCGCACGTTTATTACTTTTATGTTAATCCGTACTCACATGCCATTTAATTGCAGCTTTCACTTGACTGCTTGTGTTTAATTCACAACAGCAAAGTGCGCAAAAGCGATGGAATGAGTCTCGACTACTTTTTGTTATAAATTCACACTCTTTTGAGAGCTAAACAAGGTCTTGCATTTTGGCATGATGCTTACTTTCTGTCAATGTATAACCTTGCAACACTCTGGTCCTTGTTCACTTTTTTACCACTGACAAGCAGATATTTATCTGATACGGCACCACTCTTAGCCAATAATCTGTTAAACCAGATAAATGATACATTTTTTTGTGCTACAGGTGCTGGTCATAAAATTAGAATATCATGAAAAAGTAGATTGATTTCAGTAATTCCATTTAAAAAGTGAAACTTGTATATTATATTCATACATTACATACAAACTCATATATTTCAGATGTTTATTTTGTTTAATTTTGATGATTACAAATGACAACAAATGAAAATCTCAAATTCATCATATCAGAAAATTAGAATATTACTGAAGACCAATAAAAACAAAGGATTTATAGAAATGTTGGCCAACTGAAAAGTATGAACATGAAAAGTATGAGCATGTACAGCACTCAGTATTTAGTTGGGCCTCCTTTGGCCTGTATTACTGCAGCAATGCGGCGTGGCATGGAGTCGATCAGTCTGTGGCACTGCTCAGGTGTTATGATAGCCCAGGTTGCTCTAATAGTGGCTTTTAGCTCTTCTGAATTGTTGGGTCTGGTGTATTGCATCTTCTTCTTCACAATACCCCATAGATTTTCTATGGGGTTAAGGTCAGGAGAGTTTGCTGGCCAATTAAGAACAGGGATACCATGGTCCTTCAACCAGGTACTGGTAGCTTTGGCTCTGTGTGCAGGTGCCAAGTCCTGTTGGAAAATGAAATCTGCATCCCCAAAAAGTTGGTCAGCTGCAGGAAGCATGAAGTGCTCTAAAACTTCCTGGTATGTGGCTGCGTTGACCCTGGACCTCAGAAAACACAATGGACCAACACCAGCAGATGACATGGCACCCCAAACCATCACTGACTGTGGAAACTTTACACTGGACTTCAAGCAACGTGGATGAAGTGCCTCTCTTCTTTTCCTCCAGACTCTGGGACCTTGATTTCCAAAGGAAATGCAAAATTTACTTTCATCAGAGAACATGACTTTGGACCACTCACCAGCAGTCCAGTCCTGTTTCTCTTTAGCCCAGGCAAGACGCTTCTGACGCTGTCTGTGGTTCAAGAGTGGCTTGACACAAGGAATGCGACAGCAGAAACCCATGTCTTTCTTATGTCTGTGTGTGGTGGTTCTTGAAGCACTCACTCCAGCTGCAG